AGAAACTCCAAATTAGTTTCCTGAATGCCACTTTCACAAAGTAGCCCAAGACCTGAATTGCCAGGGCTCAAAACAAGGCACATCCAATGGCCTTTTAAAATAAAATGCTCCTGATATCAGATGCCTACGCAGTTCATGTTAATATGATAATCATAAAAGGCTAAAATGGGATTTTCTTATTTTTGACACCAGACAGCAAAGAGTGATTTGCCAATACAGAAAATCTTTCCATCGGTGTCTTTCCTATCCACTGTTTTATCTATTTTACAAAACCTTCCTATCTTAAAGGGGAATATCTTTACCCTGATTAGGATAGATTTTGAGGAGACTTATGGAAAATCTTTTGAAAATTAATTAGGAGTGTAGCTCCAGACTTCTGAAATATATCCCTTTTTATCCCTTACTTTTAGCTTTAGGGAAATAGCTGAATTAATGTAAGTGACATGACTGGAGAGAATGCTATGTAATGAAGCGCTCTTTAATCCAACAGATTATTCTGGTGGGTCTTTCATCATTTCAAGTCTTAAAACAAAGATAGGATATCCTTCTCAGAGATAATGAMAATGCATGGCCTTTCTTACAAAGCTGCTGCTGATTTCCTCTTTCTCTGAAACTCATGAGTCCCTGGGATTCTTGTTCCTAGTAAACACCACTTGCAACTGTAACTGATATACACAGAGTYTGAATCATCCATGAATGTTGCTTTCTAAAAGGCCTCTCTGCACATCTATTATGTGAGAACCAAGTTAACATCTATGGCTTTTCACAGAATTGCTAGGAYAATACGTAAGAATAACGAAATAAAAAGAAATAAAAAGATACAAATGGGAAACATTATGTCAATTAGGAGGCAGCAAAAAATTATTCATTTGGCATAACTGCTGTTACTTGAAGATACAGGCAAGATTATATTCCAGACAGTTACTCTTCTGAGTTCCATCTACYCGAAGTTACTGCTGGTCTCCTGTAGTGATGCTGGCTGCTTTAAATGAAAGAGTGTATTAAATKATACAGTCCATATAAGGCAATAAATTTGATATTGTCAGAAGAACTCTATCTCTCTCTGTTAATGCTTRTGTCATGGTTTTACTTGGTCCGATTTTTGGTGGTGGGGGGATGGGACCAAGAAACCACAAAGATGGCTCCTGTGAGGAAGTTCTAGAAGCTTTCTCCTTCTTCTCCAGCAAAAGAAGCCCTACCCCCTGTGTTTTAGAGCCAATCCATTATTGGCTCTGAGGTTGATGGACAGGCTGCCCATCAGGCCTGGGCCAATTGCACAGGTTGGTTACACCTCTGTGATGACGTATTGTCCTGTACTTAAGAATTCAAAACAAGGTAGGGGCGGCCGCCATGTAGTTTTAGGTTGTTAGTATTTAGTTTAAGTATCATGAACTGGGGAAAAACAGAGCAGGAGGGTGAGGAGATGTAAGAAGAAAAAAATGGAGGCCCAAGATCACAGTGAGGAGAAGATGGGATGGGTTGCTGTGCTGTGCTGTGGTTCTTGAGTATGGAGAAAATAAGTTGTTCTCGAAAGGACTATTTCATCAATGGGAGACCTGTATAGAAAAGGAGAGCGACCTTTTCTCAGACCTTGCTCTGAGGAAAAAAAAAAACAGCCTGGCCTTTGAGGACTGGACTGAACTGATCAGGAGCCAAAAAGGGGGAAGAGGCTTGGCCCCCCGCCACGACGTTTGAAGCGAGTTGATGCTAAGAAGGAAATGTGTTCTGCGGGGAGGGAGAGATGCCCTCGCCTTATGTCTGAAGTAAGTGGATGCTTAGAAGAAGCKGTGTTCTGCCAGGAGATTTGTGATAGTGGTCTTACGCTGCCGAAACAATGCAGTTTGGCCTTGAATAACATTTTTTCCTTTCTCCTACGAGGTAAAGAAAATACTCCCTCGCCACCAGCAGTTATACACTGACTGTTTCTTGGGAAAAGAACTTCCACAGCTTGGAGCTGTAAGAACGGTCCTCCTATGATGCCGGATGACAACAGTAATGAGTTTGATATATGTTAGACTTTCATTCCTGTCACCTGTGTGTGCRGGAAGACATGGGGGGTGGAGAGGGAGGACCTGGGAAAGAGACGGGTCCCRGAAAGGATAACAGGTGTCTTAAAAGGTCYGTTTTTWTTTTTTTCTTCTCCTTGTAAATTTTTCCCTATCTCTGTTCCCTTCCCCAGTGCGGTAGTGTTCTTAGTAGTTTGTAGTAATAAATCTATTTTGCAACTTAAGTTATTCAGCCTGCCTGACCATTCTCTGGAGCACATACATATCTCTCAATTATGTTATGTTATCTGAAAGCCATAAATTTTCGCGTTAATTGGGCTTTTGCTCTCCCTTCTGCCCTCTCCGGTGGGGGAAGGGAAAGAACRTYRTGGGTGCAGTGCTTTTTTTGGCTTTCAGCACAGTCCAAACTACGACAGCTTGATTTATTGTATGAAACTTAAAAAAAGTATCTTAATTTCATTATTAGCCAAATATAGAAAAAGGTCAAAGTTCTGTGTACATCAAGGAACAGAAATACTTTCATGTCAATTTTTTCCAGACCACAACACAGCATATCCACTCATGTCAATCCAGATCTGATATAATTTGAAAATAAAAAGCAAATATACCTTCTGAAGGTATTCTCCAAAATCTGTACAACAATAGGGAATTTTCTAGCTGCAGTCAGTTTTTYTAACATGTTTCTGGGATATTAATTCTCAACAAGAATCAGCAGGACCTTTATTCTTCTCCCATTGTAACTTCTGTGCTTTGCAGGGTTATAAAATAGTTTCTGTAATCATTAGGAAACAAGTGAGGTACAGCATGGTATTCCTGGGAGCAATATTAGAAGAATGGAAATGTATGTTTCTTTGTATTTTTAATTCAGAATTATTAAAGTTCAAACACTTTAATTGCTCTATTCCCATCTAAGGCTGTCTGGAGTGGGCTGCTCAAAACCTGTTATTAAATAATAAAGAAAAGAAAACAAATTAGGACATGTACARCACAGCCCAATGGAGCTCTTTTACATATTTGCCTCAGTGGGTCACATCCAGATCACAAAGGCAGGACCAAAAGAACTGCAGATCTGTAGGTCACAAGGTTTTGAAATTCAAATAGAAATGAAATACAAATACAAATACATACAAAGAGATTTTTTTTTAAAAAAAATACAAATAGAATTTGTAAATGTCCAGAGTTTGCCCAGAATTTCTAGGTAGTTTTCATCTGCCAAAAGCATGAAAATGCAGTGGAACCAGAGAGCAGGTAAGCAGGAAAATGCCCACTCAGAACTATGCGGCACGGAGCTGCCCGCACAGGCAGCTCTCTCCAGCCCTGCAGCAACCTCCTCCTGACCTGTCCCCACCAGGGCAGCACCAGAGGCTGCACTCACCACACTGAGCCCTTCCCTTCCTCTGTGTCCTCTCTTCCCCAGTGGCAGAATGTGTCACTTGCATCAGATGGCTTAAACCCAGAGAGAGGTTATTTGCTCATGGATAGATGAAATGGAGAGGGAAAACCACAACTTTCATTTGCCATGTAATTTCCTCCTATGTGAACTTGTTATCCAGCCTTTTCGTTTTGTCTCAATGGGCTTCCTCCATGAGCATTTAGTAACAGTCAATGCTCTCTCCTAGGAGACCAGAAAATGTGCATTAAGAAGCTCAGGGAAACAGCATGTCCATATAGGATTTCACTGTCATTGTTCTATTTGCATCATTCAGGATATTAATTTAATTACAGTTGCTTCACCACAGTCAGGGAAAAAACCAAACTCTCTCCAAATTAAATTAGCTGATAACAAAACCAGGTAATGTGGTGCAAATGTAATTTCGTTTTGCTTCCATTCAACTAAATTTACATTTAGATCTCTGAAAATTAAGAGGTGTTTAATTCAATGCATCACCAATATAAGACTTGCTTAATAATATTTTGATTGTTTTTTTAATTCAGATTTGGCTGAATGACAATACGACAGAAATACTTGACAATGACAATAGCATTTACCTGAGAACTAAAATCAATGGTAAATTGTGTTTACATTTATTCCTCCATAAAAATATTATTTTAATTAAACAGACACATCATTTCATTGTTGTATAATTTTCTAAATTGAGCCCAAGATAAAAAATTGCCTGTTAGCAACATCAGAGTTTTCCTGATCTCTACCCAAATTTTACAGAAGTGAGTTGAGATATGAAAATTCCCTGTTAAACAGCACTGCACAGGAGGCACTGCTTCTTTGGATCCCCCAGTAGCATGCTCAGTGTAAAATAGGRCAAGTTTGTCTTCAAGGACAGTGTTGGCACCCTGAGAGCAGATTTGGGACTTCAGGCGCTCCCTTATACTTTGCCATTCCATGGGTCCTGGCTGCCCAAACACAGCCTGACTCTGTGGAGGAGCCAGCACCATTCACTGCACCACCTTATCTGCCTGCATCAGTTGTTCTCCACTGGATTTACCTAAAAGCTGAGGTAATCTGGGAACTGAGCAAAGGATTGATATTAGATATGCTGCTCAAGATGGCTGGATATGTGACTAAATTAAAAGGCTTGAGATAGACATGAAAAGCGATGCTGGGCTCGGGCACTGCAATGATCCTGCCAGTAGCGGGGATGCTGGGAAAGGCATACATCCGTGCTAGTTTGTTGTGACATGCTATTTATAACTAGGGGGCAAAGAGGCAATGGAAATTATTGTTAAGTACTAAAACAATGTCTCTTGTGAAACTTCCAATGAAACAAGGTTGTGCCTGACCCTTATTTGCTTGGGTTTCCTGGGCTGCTGACTGACTAGATCCTTGAACAATACTTTATTTCAAAATTCTCAACACTTGTACATAAAGAAACAGCCATCTGATATGGGTGGAAAACCACAGTGCTTTCATCCAAACAGTAAATAAAACTTAAGTCACTAATCTGAATGGGAAGCCTTGATGAATCAGYTCAGTTGAAAGTTTCTGGAGGTTTTGCACCCAAGTATGAAATGATTGGGATGACAATGACCAAGGGATAAATGACTGAAACATTTCTTTATTTTTTCATTTTGCCTGTATTGTACATCTGGCAGTGTCCATTCCACCATTTTCCCTGTTCAGTTACTTACACTGTCCATTCAAAACCACATCTGATTGATTACCAAGAGCAGTTCCATTAGTACACCCGTGTGCCTTGGCAAACCAGAGATTTTCTAACACAGGTATATAGAGTAATTATTTTCAGACTGAAGTAAAAGCCAGCAATCAGAATACCTTTTACAAATTGAGAAAGAGCTGCAAAGCCCGTGCAAATTGCAAGGGACCTCAGCTTATTTGAAATCATAGCCTAATTTTGGTGGATCAGTTTCACTTTTTTAACATACTTATATCACCTTTATCTGACAAAACTTCAGTAAAATTAAATACTGATCAAATAGTTAAAATCAGATGCCATACAGTAGGACAAGAAGGAAAATGACATGTAAGACAATTCCAACGTAAGATTTTGGAGGAATGTATCAGCTGAGATTAAGTTAGCGGCTAAGACCACCTCAAATGCAAATTCCTAAGTAAATGATTTCTGTTTCCCAACTACAATGGAAAACACAAGTCCAACAAAAATCAATTCAAATCTAACAAAACCATAGATTTTACAGAAAATAGAACATTTTGGTTTTGAGTTTTTTTTAAATGTTTCTGAATTGGATAAATTTAGTAATGCGATTTCCTGTCAAAAATAGTTAGGCAAATTGTTTTTTACTTTCATTTTTTTTTTTTTTTTTTTTTTTTTTTTTTTTTTTTTTTTTTTTAGCTGAAAAGACCTAAGGAAACATTCTCTATATTGTATATCTATATTTGCTTGTAAGGTGTTTTGATGAAATCCAAATGTTAAAAAATATTTTCTGCAGATGATTTTTATTACTGCAAGAGTTCTATTTTGCTTTTTCACAAAGATTCTTTTATAAGGTCAGCCAGTCTCTTGAAGGCCTGYAATGACAAATATGGTTCACATTTATATTTCAGCATTACATAAATAGGCAACATATCAACATATCTGTAAAGCTACTAAAACTGCCCTAACCATATACATAACATATACAAGTTTTATAATGCAAAGCTCTGCTAATATCCTCCCTTTTCATAAAATCATGCATGGGCTTTGACTGGACATASTTTCCAATTCTCATAGAAAATAAAAGGCAGACATTTCTGAAACAGAAAAATGCATATATTTTTGTTCAAAGGTTATTTGGAGTTCAGATGTAACTTTTAACACAAGTAGTGATCCTTGGAAGAGTATGTCTTTTAACTAAATATAATAGCCTAGAGACTCCAAAAGACAAGAAAGAACAATTGAGCAGTGAAGCATTTAAAAAATACAGCTTGACTGTCAATAGTATGGTTATGAATTACTTTTACAAAGAAAAAGAAAGAAATACAGAAGAAAAAATAATAAATAATAAATACAAAAGAAGAAATAAAAAAGCAATAGAAGCACTTACCTGTTACAAACCTTCACAGCTGCATGAAAGTACAAGAAATACTGAACTGTTTCAAGAACCCAAATCACTATTAAATCTGCTCAAATAAATGTCTCCTATCTTTCCTCTCATTTATTTTATAGATAGAGCCAAATATMATCAAAAATGCTCATAAAACACATAAAAGATTAGTTCCTGAGAAATAAAATAAAACATGTATGTAAATGATATGAAAGAAAAACAATATTCTTTCTTTCAAAGAATTGCCAACACACACAAAAGAATACAGGTAATTCAATCTCAGAATCCTGGGAATGGAAAGTCTAAAAGATACATGATGCCTGCTAACCCTTAAGCAAATAGCAGGTCTTACTACTTACTCTGACTTCAGTAAGCATCTACAAATAATGTCTGGAAGGTTTAAGTGTGAGACACTGCATGTATGAGMTACACAGAAAAATTTTAAGTGGTCCTGAAAGTTTGATGCCTTTCAGGTCACTTGGACRAGTATCTTGCTTAAGGAACAGCTAATATTGCAGCAAAAGTACTGCCTAGTCACCTACAGACTAAAAACACTACACTAACATTCAAGAAAAAATAGAAAGAGAAGCATGTAAAAATAAGGGAGTATTACTGTGTGAAAAACTGTCTTGATAAGAATGTAAAAAAAAAAACTCACCAGATCCATTTGGGCAGGAGAAGGCAAAGAGAAGGAGGCTCTGACATAAGAACTAGACTCTGAACTATCAATATTGAATGCTCCTCCAGGAACCAGTAATACCTGCAAAAAACGATTAACCACACAGTTATTACCACTTCTACACTATGTTAAATTAAATTTGAGAAAGCTTAATGCTTACACACTTGTATCAGAACATGGTGTACCATAATCTTTTCTTCAAAATGAGGAGACAAAAACATGCAACTTATAATAAAACCAAATAGTCTTAATAAAACCAAACAGTCTTAGGTTTTGATTACCAGGTCTGGCTTATATCATCACAATGCTTAGAAGCACCTGGGATGTAGCTTACACAGTGCTGGGTCTTATAAATTGAAGAAATAAAACCAAAGTTCATTTCTCTCATTAAAAAATTTGGTGAACAGCCTTCATACACATAGGTACATATATTAATATTATATGCATGTCGTATACATGACATATTTTACCATATGTTATTTTGGTTTAAATTTAAGTAAACTGATTAAATATCAGCATCTGAATAGAGTCACAAAAATGTTTTGTTCATGAGTAACTATGCTGCAGTGCCTGACTTGCAGCCTTAATAATGGTGCACAGCAAGTTCCCCTGCTTTTTTATGTGTGCATGTGTGGATAGATACAGATATTTTATTCCTCCATTTTCATTTTAAGATCATAAGTCATTAAATCATATGTCATACTTCTTTCTTCAAAGCCTTTTCCATTATCAGCTGCTGTGTATCAGAAATACCCTTAATTTTGATCCATAAGAACATGCCAGCAGCAGGAGGGTACCATTCTGCCAAGTCTGGAGAAAGAGAGAGAAAATAGAATCAAGGAAGAACCTTATGCCTCACTTTTAATCGGTACATCACAGATTCAGTGATATTTTTGATTTGCTGATACAAACATTATTATAGCTATTGCTATAGCGATTTTCTGTATCTTCTTTTAAATTAAGGTCACTATTTCAAAGATTTTTTAAAGACAGAGATTTTAAACAGCAAAAGTATAAGAACATAATGAAGTGAAATACATGCTCTTTGTAAAATTGCTTTAAAAATGAATGTGGTGAGCTTTTTTTTCACCACCACCTATCTCCCTGTCCTACCAGGAAGCAAAAAAGCTCAGCAAAAGACAATTTGTCCTAAGCTTAATATTTAATGTAATTGATTTGTTTATAGTGCTTATCTGTCACTTCAAATGAGAGAAGTCAAGAGATGAATTGAAGTGATTTTTCTTAAACACAAGGATGATAAATAGCTAGAAAAAAAAAATTAAGTGATTATCTGTGTTGCACTCTGACCTTTTAACCACTTGTCAGCAGCACTGAGCATGGCGTCCCGCTGGATCCTGTAGAAGTCCACCACTCTGAAAGCAAATTATCAGTTGAAAGTCATGAGCTCATGGCATTTCAGAGTCCATTTGTTTCTAAAGGCAGAAACAAGGGTTTTCTACTTCAACAACCCAAGTGCACATTTAACAGAAATATAAGCTCATCTTAGGTGGGCACAACACAGTCTACTGTGTGTACAAAACTTTGTGTACGTATCAGAGAAAACTTTAATGCTTCAGTGCATCTCCAACAAAGCCCTGACCAACCAGACAGTGGAAGTCCCCGTGTGGCTGCTTCTTCAGCTTTACATATAAATGGATATAATGTGGAATATTACAAAGAATAGTATAATAGTATAATAATATYCCTATCATATAGAAACCTTTTGTATATTACATCCATTCTGTCTATTATAGCAGTAGATACAAGTCCTGTTAACAGTATTTACTGCACAAAAACACACATATTGAAAAAAAAAGGGGACTTAAACATATGCAAAAGCACAGACTTGATATTTGTGCATTTGGGTTGAATTTGTGTAACAGATACACATGGAAATTGCATTTGACAAGGTAAAAAGCAAATCATATGATAAACCTGTCATAACTATCTGACAGCTTCCCCTTTCCTAAACTTTTGAACCTATCTTCTGCATACTTTCAAACTTCAAACTTCCAAACAGTTTAATCTCTTACTTGGAAAAATGTCCCTGACCCAAGCTTCACCATGGACAAGTCAGGAGCAGTGGCTTTTGTTGAGATAAAATGACACAGCTGTGCAATGGAAGACACAAGAGAAATGCCTGACACTGAGTTCATAATTCAGATGCAAATGTGTTCCCATGTCTTGAGAAAACATCCTTAATAATTTGCATAATTTACATAATTTAACATTTGTATTTTTAAAAATATTCTCTAGTCCMACAGCTTCGATATCTGGATGTATTTTATTACATCTGATACACAAACACCAATACCTCCAGCTACTTACATAGTTTTGGGATCCAGCTATACCTATTGCCATATTCTGTATGAAACAGTAAATCTCCTTTTTGTAGTTTTTACCAAAATTGCAAGTTCTGTTACRAGGTTTTTACCTAGTACTATTTTAATTACACATTGAAATTATGAGTATTAGTAAGAGAAAACATCCCCAAAACTGTAGCTGCTCTAAAAAACAGACTAGCTTCCACTCAAAAGCCTGATCTAACACCTGCCCCCTTGTACAAAGTAGTCAACTGGAAGAGATTCAAATCAGCTGTGGGGGCCTCATCAATAAGGTTATAAAGCATTACAGCTGCTRTCCTGCAGCTCTCTTTTCATTAGTTCAAGAGGAAGAATAGCCTTTGGGCTTTAGCAAGGCTGCCTCCACCTAYGAGAAAGGTAAGTGAAGAAATGCATTTAGGTTTTATTTCTTTTGGAACCACTGAAAGTTGCGCTAATGTGGGGTCCAGATTTCTCTGTGAGAGTTATCCTTATGTTCCTAAATCTTAAAGCAAGGCAAAGCAAGGGCTGGTGTGTCTTTGCTTTTTTTTTTTTTTTTTTT